AAACCCGACAAAACAACAAGAAAAAACGCACTAAACCTCAAAAACGCCTAAACCCTAAAAACCCTAAACCCTAAACCCTGAACACCCTAAACCTTAAAAACCCTAATTTTTAAAAACCACATCAACCCTAAAAACATCCTAAACCCTAAAACACACATGAGCCCTAAAAACACCCTAAACCCCACAAATCCACTGAACCCGAAAAACTTAAAAACCGCCTAAAACCAAAAAACACTGCAACCTAAAACCACTAAACCCTAAAAAGCCCTAAACCCTAAAAACCCTAAATGCTAAAAACCTTAAACCTGAAACAAACCCTAAACCCTAAAAGGCCTTAAACCCAAAAAACACTAAACCTTAAACACCCTAAACCCTAAAAACCCTAAACGCTAAACACCCTAAACCCTAAAAACCCCAAAAACCTGCTAAAAACACTAAACCCTAAAAACCATAAACCTTGAAAAACCTTAAACCGTGAAAACATGCTAAACCCTAAAAACCACCTAAACCCTAAAAACATCCTACACCCTTAAAAACACGAATCCTTCAACCCTAAAACCTTTCCAAGCCCTAAAAACCACCTAAACCCCAAAAAGCCTCCTAAACCCTGAAAAGCCCTCCCTAAACACAGTTTAAACCCTAAAAACCACCTAAACCCAAAAAACCTCTGAACCCTAAAGCCACTAAACCCTAAAAAGGCCTAAACCTTAAGAAGCCCTAAAATTTAAAAACATCAAAACCCTAAAAAACCTAAACCCAAAAACCCGAAACCCTAAGACTTTAAGAAAACTTAAACCTTAAAAACACCTCAACCCTAACAACTGTAAACCCTGAAACCCTAAACCCTAAAAACCTTAAAAACCTGCCAAAAACCCTAAACCCTCAAACCCCTAAACACTGAAAAACCATAAACCCTAAAAAACTGTAAAAAACCCTGAAGCCTCAAACCCCTAAACACTGAAAAACCATAAACCCTGAAAAACACTAAACCTGAAAAACCACCTAAACTCAAAAAAGCGCACTAAACCTTAAAAACACCTAAACCCTAAAAACCCTAAACCCTAAACACCCTAAACCCTAAACACCCTAAACACCCGCTAAACGCTAAAAAACCCTAAACCCTAAAAACCTCCTGAACCTTAAAAACCACCTAAACCCCAAAAAGCCTCCTAAACCCTTAAAACCACCTCCACCTCATCCCTAAAAAAACCTAAACCCTAAAAACCTTAAACCCTAAAAACCTTGTAAGCCCTAAAAACACCCTAAACCCAAAAAACTAAACCCTAAAGCCCCTTTAAACCTTTAAAAGCCCTAAACCCTAAAAAACATTCTAAGCCCCAAAAACCGTCTAACACCCAATAAAAAAAAAGAACCCTAAAACCGCTAAACGGTAAAAAGCACTAAACCCTAAAAAACCTAAAAGCTTAAAACCCTAAACCCTAAAACACCTAAACCCTAAAAACCCTTAACCCCAAAAACCCTAAACCTTAAAAACCCTAAACACTAAAAACCTTAAACGCTAAAACAACACCTAAAACCCTAAACACACCCTGAAAACCTGAAATCCACCTAAAAACCCTGAACCCTCAAACCCTAAAGCCCTAACATGCCCTAACCCTGAAAACCCTAGACCCTGAAAACCCTAACTACGTAAACCCTAAAAACCCTAAATCCTGCTTCTTTGCTTTCGGGGTGAGGCGGTCAAGTTTGATTTCCCGACGTCCTGTTTTCTGTCCCTGGCGCTGCTGTTTTTGAATCCGATCCAGCAAGTCTGTTTGGATGAGCCGGTCCGTTTTTGAATCTGGACGTTCTGTTTTCTGAATGTGGCGCTGCTGTTTTTTGAATCTGGCGCTGCCTTTTTTGAATTTGGCCGTGCTGTGCTTGAATGCCGCCGTGGTGTTTTTAACTTTTGTTTGTTGAATGTTGCCGCTGCTTTCTGAATGCGGCTTCTCTCGGGACGGGACTCCCCTTTGTGCTTCCTGAAAGCCTGCGGCGACGTGCGCGAGTCCACGCCAAGCAGCGGAAAAGTGACGGCAACCCTCAGAGTTTGGAGTACATATAGATTGATCACCATATTGCTGAACGAGGCCAACACTGCCTGTACACTTGGATAGGGAACGCCTGTCACGAGGCGATTAAAACGCACCTGATACAGCAGTCTTGTTGCACGCAATGCTTGGCTGAACACATCACAAGTCACATAGTGCATGTGCAAGCTGCAGCCGCTGGACCACCACTAGCTCTCAAGCTGGCTCAAATTGCACCAGGTGTTGAAGGAGTCACGGTCTGAAAATCCATGCGCTTGTCTCCAGAAGCAGATTCGGCCCGCACAGTGCTCGCATGTGTTTGCGAGGGTCTCAGGCTCCTCAAATTGAAGACTCGCCGCATCTACAAGTGTTTGAAGATCCCGGAACTACGTCGAAGTCCCACTTACAGATAGTCATCGTTTTCCTCTATCCGTGTGCCCGTTGTTGTTGCGGTTCTGTTGTCCCAAGAGCTTGGATGCCGCATCCGGGCGTGGCAGCCGACAACATCTGGAAGAGAAGTATCTCAGGCCCAGACAGGCATCGAAAAGAGCCAGAAAGTCTTGATCTTCCCGCATTCCTTGAATCAGCTGCAAGAAGCTTCTGCAAACCTCCCTTGAGATAGCAAGTGATCTCACAGGTGATCTCAAAAGTGCGAGTCCTCGAACATTGGGCATAGCTTGTCGCTGCCCATGTCCAGTGGAGCTCCCGTGAAGTAGACGGCTGTGCTGCCGTCCGAGCCGCTTCCTGCCACTCATGCGCCCCATTTGCTCATAACTACTCATTACCAAAGAATATGGGAATCACACATCGAAGAGCCTAGAGAAGACTAAAAGGCATTGCCCTAAACCACGCAACACTCAAACGCCCCGCCTTCCCAGGCCGAGGAATGGTTGTACCACTCGGGGCCTTGCGCAAACCAGGCCTGGCCCTGAACGCTATGACTGGGCTCGAACTTTTGCGTTTGTGCGCTTCCGTTCCTGAGGCCCCAAGGAGAAACAGCTTTGAAAAAGGCTTAGCGAAGCATCTGGGTCATTGGCCAAGACGGCTTAGAAGGATGCTTGGGGAAGTCCGCGTGGAGCCTTAACAACTGTGCGTCGAGCACTGGCCTGCCCTGTCTACACTCGGAACATCTCAGGCTGCTGCTCATGGTCTGTGTACACCTGCTGCATATGATCTACACCGAAAGCCCTCAACGGCCACTGAATGATGGCATTAGGCTCTGGCCACGATCTCGCATCCCTGCACCTGACGCATGGCTTCAAGGCCAACCTTTGATTTGTTTCACCTTATTGCACGTGATTATATGACATTATGCTTCCAGGCCTTGCCGCCATTCAGCTGAAGTAGCGCCTGCTGGGCCTTCAGCCATCTTCAGCCATCGCAATGCATGTGTTCTCAGCAGTGTGCAGCTTGCCAAACCTGTTCAGCGGTCTTGTAGGTGACCATACCCATGCCCCGGGAACGGGCATCCTGGCCAACGTGAGGCACCCAAGTGCGGCTCTAAGTTGTGCACGTCCGAGTCCTTCAGCTTGAAGAGGTTGAGACCGTGAATCTGCGAGGCCGCTCTACTGATCATACACACTTGCACTAGCAGGGAACCTCTCCAACTTTGCCGAAGAACTGCCGCAAATCGTCCTCTGGTTCGATACTGCTTGGGACATGCTCCAACTCCCGGTCTCTCCCACCCGCAGGCCTCTGAGGTACCAGGAGATGCCCCTCTAAACCGCACTTTGGTATCTGCGCCTGCCAGTCCATGGCGCAGCAGTCGTGGCAGCACAATGCTCCGTGTCAGGATGTGTCAGGTTTCTCAAGCCGCTGGAGGTCCTAGGTCCTCGGGTACAGAATACGGAACATTCCGAAACCCTGTGCTGCCAAGGCAAGATTCCTTGAAACTGAATGACAAGCTCCCACCTTCCTCTTTCCGTCGCTTGGCCCCTGGTCGCGGTTGCGACAGCAGCAGAAGCCGAAGCTCCTCATCTCACACTGGGCATGTCTAGCCGCTTACAAAGCTTCAATGTCTGCATTGGGCCAGTCTTGTGTCCTCATCTGTGCAAAAGCAGCCTGTATCAGACCGGTCATCCAGCATTTTCAGGATCACCGCCTGAAGTGCCAGCGAAACTTCCTTTGCAGTGCTTTGCAAGCCAGATTCTCAAACACCAGCAAGCCTTTGGCACCCCCTTGGCTTGGGAGACCTCAGATGCTTGAAATGAAAGCTGGTTGAAGGACTTGTATCTGTCGTAACTGTTCTGGACTGTTTCATATCATGACGGGACTGCTTCCTACCATGAACCATGATGCTTGCTTGCCAATGCCGTACATACATGTATACTCGAGTGACAACAGCCCCCGCAGTATCCCTGACATAGCAATGGTTCAGGCTCAGGTTGGATGTTTGTCGTATACTTGCATGATGTTGGGCAGCGACATCGGCAAACTCTGCAATCATGAGCCGCCACGCTGGCAGTTCACAAGGCTAAGCCGACTACAAGTACCACCTACGTACTAATGTACATGAATTCTTGGCCGGCCCTCCAAGTTAGCTGTAATTCATGAAGATATATGTATGGCAGCACCAACAATCAACAAGTTTTAAAGTTCTTCCTATGCAGGCAGCTCATATGTTCTGTTCTGAGTATCTACACTTTCTAAAGCTGATTTGGTGCAAAAAACGAAGCCAGAGGACTGAAACAATGATGTTTGGAGATCGGTTGAAGCCAGTTCATACTCAGAGAGGTCAGTTGAAAATCGGTCAAGTGTAGATTTATGAATATATGCTGACAATTTTGTGCATACTGAGTCATGCAAAATGGAGAGCCGGGCGTTGCAGACACACGCGTCATGCGGAGTACACTTGCAGCCCGTGACTGAGAGCAACTTGCTTGCTTCTCCGCCAGCTGATGTGATTAGGTACATTATTGTGGTGGGTCTAGCTGGGAGATGGCTGTCCCCGGCCGACCATCCGGATGGGTCCACCAATGCGTAGAGGGTCACGTCACAATGCAGCTTAGCAGCATTTACCTCCTTGCAAAGGATGCTGTACTCCTGTCAGCTGCTGCAGGATGGCCTCATGAAGTCAGTGGACACACTTTAGCCTTATGCCCCTGGTCACCCTTGTCCTGCTTCCACTCCTGGGCGTTACCGTCAAAGCCTCGGAGGGGAGACTGTTTCCAGCTGGACAGCAGCTGGACCAAGGATGTGTTTCAACCAACACACAGGCGAATCAGGGTGCCATGTCTGGGATCAAAACCCACCAGCTTGGCCAGCTGCATCATCTCGCCCTGTGATTCAAAAACTTAAGTGCATGCTTTATGCTAACACTGCAGAGTTCTCTCCAATTGGGTTCTTTCGCAATTGTTTGGCCTTGGTGGTTTGAAGCCTTCCAGAACTCCCATGCGCCTTTTAAGGGTTTCAGTTGTTTTTTTTGTTTTTGTTTTGGTTGTTTTGAAGCCCTCCGAAGCTCCTGTGCATTTCTTGAGGGCCTCAAGGGGTCTGAAAGGTTCTGAGGCCCCAATGGAGACCAAGGGATAAAACGAGATTGCAAGGCTCCTGTCACCCATACGATTGTTAATGTGCGCATTTGGGATCACGCCGGAACCGTATCATCTCTCCGATGGAGAGTCTTTTTGGCAAGAGTTTGGTCAAATTTTCTGGGTTCCCGCTCAAGCATGATGCTCGTTACGAGCTGAAATCGCGCCAAAAACGACGACAGTCCCGTACTTTGCAAAAATGAGCCGTCAAAAGCGACGACATGTGCGAAGACAACAGGACATTATGTTCAGACGAGCCCTTTGAGATGCACACGTTCAGCCGGTCTGTTGCACGGCTTTAAAAATGAATTGGTTGGGGGGGGTAAGCCCCCCACGACTCGCCAACATAATGATCAAATGTCAGGCTGATTGCACGAGCACTTTGAAAAATGCGGGAGCGGCAGAGTGGGGCCTGGACGAGGCAGGTGTGTAACCATGACAGGAAACAGAACTGCAAAAAGGAACGCAGGAGCAACGACAAGCAAGCATACAAAAGCGCGTCAGATGATGAAACGCATGTTTTTGTAGCTGCTTGCTGCTTGTGAACGTCTCTACAGTCAAAGGGGAGGGTGATCCAGTGCGCACTCCTATTTGCGTCCAGTGCGCACTCCTAAATCAGCATCCAGTGCGCACTCTAATTGTATCCAGCGCGCACTCCTCGAATCTGCATCCACTGCGAACTCCTGCACGCGTGCAGTGTTTAGCGGTTTAGGGGTTTACAGTTTAGGGGTTTAGGTTTAGGGTTAGGGAGGGTTTAGGGTTTCAGGGTTTAAGGGTTTAGAGTTGAGGGGTTAGGGGTTTATAAATCAGCATCCAGTGCGCACTCTTTCTGTATCCAGTGCGCACTCCTTGAATTTGCATCCACTGCGAACTCCTTCCCACATGCAGGGTTTAGGGGTTTAGGGGTTTGCGTTTAGGGTTTAGGGAGGGTTTAAGGGTTT